CTTGGGACCATCTGTAACTTCAGTTCCAACTGGAGAGGTTCCCTGGTAGAATTTTTGTGGTCACTTATGTATAGTATAATATTATCTTCAGACAGTAAAAGTTTGACTTCTTCCTTTCCAATTTGTATCCCCTTGATCTCCTTTTGTTGTCTTATTGCTCTAGCTAGAACTTGGAGTACTATGTTGAATAGATATGGAAAGAGTGGACAGCCTTGTCTTGTTCCTGATTTTAGTGGAATCGTTTTGAGTTTCTCTCCATTTAATTTGATGTTGGCTGTTGGCTTGCTGTAAATTGCCTTTATTATGTTTAGGTATGTTCCTTATATCCCTGATCTCTCCAGAACCTTTATTATGAAGGTGTGTTGGATTTTGTCAAAGGCTTTTTCAGCATCTAATGAGATGATCATGTGTTTTTTTCTTGCAGTTTGTATATATGGTGGATTACATTGACAGATTTTCATATGTTGAACCATCCCTGCATCTCTGGGATCATGCATCTTGAATATGGTGGGTGATTTTTGTGTGTGTGTTCTTGGATTCGGTTTGCCAGTACTTTATTAAGTATTTTTGCATCAATGTTTATGAGGGAGATTGATCTGTAAATCTCTTTCTTTGCTGCATCTCTGTGTGGTTTCTGTATCAGGGTAACTGTGACCTCATAAAAAGAATTTGGCAATGTTATTTCTGTTTCTAATTTGTGGAACAATTTGAGGAGTATTGGTATTAGCTCTTCTTTGAAATTCTGATAGAATTCTGCGCTGAAACCAACTGGCCCTGAGCTTTTCTTGGTTGGGAGACTTTTGATGACTGCTTATATTTCCTTAGGGATTATAGGTATATTTAAATTGTTTATTTGGTCATGATTTAATTTTGGTATGAGGTACCTATCAAGAAAATTGTCCATTTCTTTTAGATTTTCCAGTTTTGTGGAGTGCAGGTTTTTGAAGAATGACCTGATGATTCTCTGGATTTCCTCAGTGTCTGTTGTTATGTCCCCCTTTTCATTTCTGATTTTGTTAATTTGGATGTTCTCTCTCTGCCTTTTGGTTAGTTTGGATAAGGGCTTGTCTATCTTATTGATTTTCTCAAAGAACCAATTCTTTGTTTCATTGACTCTGTATTGTTTCTCTTTGTTTCTATTTTATTGATTTCATCCCTGACTTTTATTATTTTCTGCCATATACTCTTCCTGGGTGAGTTTGCATCTTTTGTTCTAGAGCTTTCAGGTGTGCTGTTAAGTAGCTAGTGTGAGATTTCTCCAACTTCTTTATGTAGTCACTTAATGCTATGAGCTTTCCTCTTAGCACTTCTTTCCTTGTGTCCCATAAGTTTGGGTATGTTGTGCATTCATTTTCATTAAATTCTAGGAAGTCTTTAATTTCTTTCTTTATATCTTCATTGATCCAGTGGTGATTCAGATGAGAGTTGTTCAGTTTCCATGAGTTTGTAGGCTTTTTGCATTTTGTGTTGTTGTTGAACTCTAGCTTTAAGCCATGGCGGTCTGATAAGATACAGAGGGTTATTACAATTTTTTTTGTATCTGTTGAGATTTGCAAATGTGTTTGCCCTAGTATTTGAGGCATAAATGTTCAGAATTGAAACTTCATCTTGATGGATTTTTCCTTCAATGTATATGAAATGTCCTTCTCCATCTCTTTTGATTAATTTTAATTTGAAGTCTATTTTGTTAGATATTAAAATAGCTACACTGGCTTTCTTTTTAGGTCCATTTGATTGGAAAATCTTTTCCTAACCCTTTACTCTGAAGTAATGTCTATCTTTGAAGTTGAGGTGAGTTCCTTGTACACAGCAGAAGGATGGATCCTGTATTCATATCCATTCTGTTAGCCTGTGTCTTTTTATTGGTGAATTAAGTTCATTGGTATTAAGAGATGTTAATGACCAGTGATTGTTAATTCCTGGGAGGTTTTTTTGTTTATTTGTTTTTTGTTTTTGTTTTTGTTTTTGTTTTTGTTTTTTTACTTTGGATGGTGGTGGTGGTAGTGTGTGTTTCCCTTCTTTGGGATTTCCTGGTGTAAAGTTATCTATTACCTGTGTTTTTGTGGATGTAGCTAACTTCCTTGGGTTGGAATTTTCCTTCTAGTACTTTCTGTAGGGTTGGATTTGTGGATAGATACTGTTTAAATCTGGTTTTGTCATGAAATATCTTGTTTTCTACATCTATGGTGATTGAAAATTTTGCTCTGTATAGTAGTCTGGGCTGGCATCCATGGCCCCTTAGTTTCTGCAAAATGTCTATCCAAGACCATTGAGAATGTCTATCTCCATTGAGAAGTCAGGTGTAACTCTGATAGGTCTGCCTTTATATGTTACTTGGCTTTTTTTCCTTTGCAGCTCTTAATAGTCTTTCTTTATTCTGTATGTTTAGTGTTTTGATTATTATATGTCGAGGGGAATTTTCTTTTCTTTTTGATCCAGCCTATTTGGCATTCTGTAAGTTTCTTGTACCTTCATAGACATGTCCTTCTTTAGGTTGGGAAAGTTTTCTTCTATGATCTTGTTGAATATGTTTTCTGTGTCTTTGAGCTGGAATTCTTCTTCTTCTATCTCTATTATTCTTAGGTTTGATCTTTTCATGGTGTTTCAGATTTCCTGGATGTTTTGTGTTAGGAATTTATTAGGTTTAATATTTTCTTTGACTGATGAATCTATTTCCTCTATTGAATCTTTAATACCTGAAATTCTCTCTTCTATTTCTTGTATTCTATCAGTGATGTTTGCATCTGTAGTTCCTGTTTGCTTCCCCAAAATTTTCCATTTCCAGAATTCCCTTGGTTTGTGTTTTATTATTTCTCTTTCAGTTTCAAGTCTTGAACCACTTCCTTCACCTGTTTGATTATTTTTTCTTGGCTTTCTTTATGGGATTTATTGATTTCTTCCATTTTTTGTTTGCCTTTTCCTCGATTTCTTTGAGGGAATTTTTCATTTCCTCTTTAAGGGCCTCTACCATCTTCATAAAGTTATTTTTAAGATCATTTTCTTGTGTTTCAGCTACATTGGAATGTTCAGGTCTTGCTGTTGTAGGATCACTGGGCTCTGGTGGTGCCATATTGCCCTTTCTGTTATTGAATGAATTCTTACAGTGCTGTTTACTCATCTGTTCTTCCAACTGGTGTGGGTCATGCCTGTGTCTATGTAGTCTGTTCTTCCAACTAGAGTGTGTTGTGCCTGTGTCTATATAGTCTGCTGGGGTTTCTGGGGAAGGCTGGACATGGAGAGGATGTTCAGACGTGTGGGCTTGGGTGGTGGAGTGGATCTTGAAGGGACAGAGTTCAGTGTGTGTGTCGGGGGGGGGGGTGCAGCCTGGAAGCAGGTCTCTCACCTGCTTGCTGGCTGGTAAGGATTGTACCAGAGCAGTGGAGTTCCACCAGAGTTCATAAATTTTATTTTTATAGGGGAAATGTAAATGATGAATATATTCTTAGAAGGATGAAAAGAAAAAAAATCCAGATGATAGAATTATGAAAGACACCCATCTTCTTTAATATCAGAAGTAATATGTCTTAAAAGCCAGAAAATGTGTAATTCATGATACATAAAAAATGATTAAAAATATAGATGAGTTTTTTAGGCTGATCATTTTTATTGTTAATATCAGAATTCTGCATGTCACCAGTTGTGAGTACTGATATCTGTGTATCTTTAATCTTGGTTACCTAGCAAGTGATCTTAGGCCCTTATGAAAACTGTTCTATTTCCTAAAGTAAGGCCTGTTTCCTCCTCCATACACACACACATGAATGCACACTCCTATATGTGCACACATACACACATACGCACACAAATGCACACTCACACACATACACATGCGCACACACATTGACCATATGAAAATGCAATGATCTGACTAATTTGGGAAGAATAAAGAACATTTTCTCTTTCCTGAAGTATTCTCTGAGAAGCATAGATAGCTGAATATTTTCACCAAAACTCTCTAGATATTTTTTTTTTTGCCCTGCAGGCACTTTTTTTTTTTCAAGTGCATGTGAAAGATTACAACCTTAGCATTTTATGAAAAATGATTTGGAGCAGTTTTGTTTCTGAAGCTGGAGGGAGTGAAAAAGGACAATCAAAAGTCATGGGGATTCCTCATTATTTGCTTTTTTTTCACACCTTGACATCTTGTCCTGCAATTTGGTTTTGTTTATCAACCTCAGACCATCACAACTGAGACCTTATTTAAAGGAGACACAGACACACACAGCCATTTTTCCCTAAGCTCTTCTTTTGTGCTTGGGATAATAAATATGCAATATATCCTACCAATCTTCCCGCCTTGCTGGAAGTGTAATGAATAGGCAGGAGGCTCTTTAGTGTTAAGTCAGGATCCAGGACCCGAATCTTCAAGATTATCCTAAAATGTAATTGTTCCCACCTGGAGATGAAACTTCACTGGCCATCCTTTGTGACATTTCTGAGCAGCTGAGAGGTACGGATGCTGTAAAATGCCAAAGACTGAAAGCCTTACTTTCCAGGTCTGCTTTTTACAAGAGAAGTGGCTAGCTGATAGACAGGCCTGCTCTGAACATACAGCTGTTGCCAGAATAATCCTAGCAGCCAGCAATCTACAGCCCATCAGCTTAGTCTGTCCTCATCCCTGTCATGTGGGGTTGGGCCCAGCCAGATTTAGTTTACCCTCTGGAGGCCACTTGGCCTCTGGTCAGTGGTGCAGACACAGAGCACTACAAATGAGTGAGGTCCATACATCACGCTTTCCGGAAAGGGCACCAGTAGCTGCTGAAGAGAGAGAAGGAAAACAGGAGAGCATCTAATTAATAGAGGTGAGAGCTGAGCTACAGAACGCACTGTGACCCAGGCAGACATCCTGGAAGCCGCTCTGAGTCACTGACCACCACTTCCTCCTTTGACAGCACTATACCCTTTCACACGGGCATGTGCTGATAACCGCAGACCCTGGGCTCTGTGTCACACAGTGTGGTTTTCAGAGCGCCTTCCTCCCTGGGTTGTATTTTAACTCGATGTCACCCTGCAGGATACAGAGGCTGCACAGACATCGCTATTCCCAGTTTTACAACTATGTTGACGCTTGCCTGTCCAAAAGCCCTTCCCTGTTGAAGCCCTACACAGCTTGTATCCGAAGTAGCCAGGCAAAAGGAACAGCAAGGCCTGGGCATGCTGGAACGTTCCCACGTGACCTCGCTTGGACCGATCTCAAATGTACCAATTCTCCATGGCTTATCTGTAGAATTAACTCACAGCTGGTAGGTGAGCCAATGTTATGGAATAGACATGATGGCAAGGGTGCTTTCCACCAGAAGGAATCTGAACCATTTAGTGAGTGATGGAGGTCCCAGGCCCAAGGTCTCATTCAGAGATTGCCAGCATCATACAGCAAACTGAGGTGCCATCTGGGGCCCGTCTTTGAGGGAGACTTTCTCTTCATTTCTCTGATAGCTGGTGACCTTGCTGGAAATGTGGGTTGTCCCTTTGTACTTCACAACGAAGCTCTGCTGGTGGCGGTTTCAGTCTACGTGGGGAATGTTCTCCATTCTTACTAGTGACATCCTCTTCAGAGCTACCCGGAAATCGTTTTCAGGGCAGACACTTCAGTGTTCTACTCACTCCTTCCTCACGGTCCCTTTGATTTCATTTTTAATTTGAGTTGAAGTTTCCATGTGGCTGCTCTTGGTTTTTTGTTTGTTTGTTTGTTCTTGTTCTTGTTCTTGTTTTATTTCGAGACAAGAATTCACAATATATGCTAGATCTATGCCTAGAACTCACAATCTCTCTGCCTTAGCCTCTCCCAAAGCTGGAATCAACGTTTTATCTTTCCTAGTATTGTAGATGATAAAACCAAATGTTTAAGTGGGTAAGTGATCTTGAAAATATTTTTACAGACCTCTACTGCCATGCCTGGCTTCATCTCTTTCTTGTAAACAGTAAAAAGTATACTTCATTTCCTTTTGTCTTGAAGTGTCCACAGGTTTCCGGTCATCCTTTGACCCGTTTCTACCTTTGCAGCAAAACCATCCGGAGACTGGATATCACACTCTTAATGCACATACCCTGTGTGATGGCAACTCACACTAGCCTCCTGTCCAGCTCACAACTGCAGACTCTAACCAGTGGAGGAAGAGGAAAAAGGAAGTGAAACTGTTTTTTTTTTTTTTAATCTCTAGAGCACACTTTGCATGTTTATTTTTAGCTCAGCATTTTGTTTTATTCTCTCAGGTCACATACACATTAAAACAGGGCAAGGACTGAAAGTTTATGGTCCAACCTGACCACATCTAACACATCAGGCATGTAGGGAAGCGTGTCTAGCAACTGGGGTTGTAATATCGCAGGCTGGCTGTCATCCTCTTGAGAGTTACACAATTCCATAAAGTCGTGGCAGGTTTTTCACCAGAGCATATACGCCTACAGGCTTGCTCTTGCTCCCTCTGACTGGGAGTGGAGTGCAAATCCTCACCAAGGTGCCACTGCAGCAAGATAAGGAGAAAGTGTGTGGTGTGCAGTGGTCATGAGACAGTGGCCGAGTTTTACCCTGCTGGAGAAAAAAAATCATAGGCCTGAAGGAAACATTTTCATGATCATTTCTCCACTTGTGTGTTTGGTTTTCTCCTGTTAAATACTAGGAAAGATGAAATAATAAGCTTTCCTTTTAGCTTGGAAAAGGAAAAGTATACAATGAGAGATATTTAAATAAACATGATGATATATTTGAATTCACTGCTCTTGAGGAAGACTATGGGTTTAGGCCAGCCTGGGCTACATAGTAACTTCTAAATGAGCCTGAACTGTATGATAAGACCCTGTATTGTTGGCTTTTTTACTCTTTGCTCTTTTTATTCTTTGGGGGACCCACCACCCAGGCTCCCAAAGAAATCACACATGGAGGCTTATTCTTTCTTATAAAAGCCCAGCCTCAGCTTGGCTTATTTCTAGTCAGCTTTTGTTAACTTAAATTATCCCATCTATCTTTTGCCTCTGGGCTTTTACCTTTCTCTATTCTGTATACCTTTCTTTACTTCTTACTCTATGGCTTACTGTGTAGCTGGGTAACTGGCCCCTAATGTCCTCCTCTTTTTCTTTCTCCTGAATCTTCTTTCTGTCTCTCTTTTTCCCCTTCCATTTATTTTCTCTGCCTGTCAACTCCACCTATCCTTTCTCCTGCCTTGCTATTAACCATTCAGCTCTTCATTAGACCAATCAGGTGTTTTAGAAAGGCAAAGTAACAGCTTCACAGAGTTAAACGAATGCAACATAAAAGAATATAACACATTTTTGCATCATTAAACAAATGTGCTACAGCACAAACAAATGTAACACATCTTAAAATAACATTCCACGACAACCCTTTCTCAAAAAAAAAAAAACAGTTACATGAATGCAGGTTTGCAGATAGTTAACTTAATTCCCCATTGGGAAGAACTTGGGAATAGTGTCAGGAGACAATTTGGACTAGCCAGATAAGGTCTTAGAAAGCCTTTAAAAGTCAGTAAAAAGTGGGCACATGGCTCCCTTTCTCCTGACTACCAAATATTATAAGCTATTTAAGATTTGTCAAAGTGTTTTGAGTTTCAGAATCCAAACGTATTTGAGTTCATCCCTTGAACACAAACAGTACAAGTAGTTCACTTCCAACGAAACATTTTACTTCCCACTGCATAATTGTTCAATGCAGGCTCCTAAGTAAATGAGTTCACCATAGCAGAGACCATTCACTGCAGGAATTACCCAAATGTGCTTTGCTATTCTTCATGGCCCATATATCTCAGATGGCCAGGGTATCATGCCATCTACATCTCAGCAATCCCTTTCAGCTTCTGCCTGCATAGGGCTCCACATATCTCAAGTCAGCTCAAGAGCCAAGGTTTCCACTGTGTTCTAAAGCAGAGTTTCTTAAATGTTTTCAATAAATTTTTATATATCCTCCCCCGATACACTGATTTATAAAATATGTGTGTGAATCAACATTTACTGATGATAAATTATAAAGTTTTTTTAAAAAACCGTTATTTGGTGTACCTACAATTTTACCCTTTACAAAAGATGAGAACAAATGTGCATGCTGAGACAGATGTAGTTTTCCAACACAGCACAATTCAAAACTATTAACTGGATATTACATTCAGAGGAATGACAGTAGGATTATATTTTCATATGGAGGCTGCTCTGAGGCAAGTAGTAAGTTCAAGAGGCCGGGAAGCTCTGGGTTCTTCTATTCCCAGAAGTATGTAGCCCAGTGAGTAGGGAAATGAGCATAGACATAATCTAATACACCTGAGACATGCAGCATGTCAGGGACTTAATATGTCCAGTCTTTTAAAGGAATGCATTATATCATATACACTCCAGGTCAGTGTTAGGAGTCAGCCCCATTCTCATCACTTTACAAACAAGGCAGTCATGGGAAGAACAGCCAAGGAAGTTGACCAAGGTCTACAGTGTCAAGCCAGGGTCAATTCAAAAATGACACTCTACAAAGCTCTACCTCCAACACCATGATGTGGCTTCCTTAAATCTGTAAGTCACTTGGCACAGAGTAGCCTTGCAGTTAAATATGCTATTAGCTGGGAGCATCTCCTATGCAGGCTCATGCCTAAGAGAGGCCTTGAATATGTGTGGAGTCCAAGGAACCTACTCTGTAGTTCTATCTGGGGATAGGGCTGGGCCAGGAGGACCCTCTTAGTCATTGTTAATGTCCCAGCATATCCCCATTATAACATAAACCTCCACTCTGAACTGGCTGCTCTTGCAGTGATGTGAACTGCTCAGCACAGGCAGATCAGAAGAACTGATTACTCAAGTATCTCTCAGCAGAAAGACCCTGCCCCCTTCTCTGGCCTTTTTTAGAGACACAGCAGTCTCGTAGTGTTGCAAACCAATCTGTGCAGCTGTATAACTGTCTGTTCCACAGACCCTACCATTGCCTGACCCTAATGGGCATGAATGCACCTGGGGAGGAGGCGCCGGTACACGTGACTCCCAAGTGTCTGTTTCTTGAATGTGGAAAGATGTTCATCATAAAAATTATGTAAACAACAACTCAATTCTCGGGCTAGCCCACAATCCCTATTCAAACCAAATTCAAATAAGGATTCAAAAAGTCCTTTCTAATTGGAACTCAGTGAAAATAAAGTAATAAAGTATGGCCATGGCAATGAACACCCAACACTTTCTTTCCAAAAAGAGAAAGAAAGTATCTTTTAAAATAGTAATGAAAGCTTGATTTATTACTATCAGAGATTTTAACTATGTATGTGGATACGTAGGTTCCAACAGGAAGCAAACTGGGGAAGGTGGTAGGGTTGCAATAAGCAGATGATTTGAAATCACAGAGGAAAACTGGGGTTTGGAGTGAGGTAAAGAAAGCTGAGGGGCAGGCAGAGTAATCTCACACTCCAGAAGCGGAGGCAGGAGGATCTCAAGTTTAAAACAAGCCTGGCTGCCCACTGAGACCCTATCTTAAAAGACTAAAAACACTTTAAGATCCTCAACCCAAAAATCTATATAGAAAGATTTGGTTTAAAGGCTGTTTGAAAGACAGAGTGCTTTATTTGCTACTCTGTGTTACCTCTACTTTCTATTCCCACAGATTGGTCTACAAAAGCTTTCTTCTAATCTATAAGATCAGCTATACGTTTGGTGTAGTGGGTTATTTGGCCATTGTGTTTACAATGTGTGGATTCAATCTAATATTCAAGTAAGTATCTTTACTTAAGACACTAATATCTCTAAGTGTCTGCTTGGATCATTCACCTGGCCATGTCCTTCTCCCACCTGGAAGCACATGGCCCTGACATGTTCCATGTACACGTTTTTCATAGTAGGTATCTACATAGAGTTTTATCATTGGAGGACCCAAGAGAAATGCAAGAAAGGAGCACCTTTCAAAATAAAACTTTTTAAAAATTAAGAGCTTTTATGATAATTGTTGTGGGATATTTGTACACCGTGTGAAGGAATATTGTTGTGATTGGTGTAATAAAAAGCTGAACAGCCAATAGCTAGGCAGAAGGTATAGGTGGGACTTCCAAGCGGAGAGAGGAAGTAGGAGGAGGTATAGGCATGCAAGAGAGACACCAGGAGACACAGAAGAAGCAGGATAGGCAATATGTGACAGAACATAGATTAATATAAATGGGTTAATTTAAGTTATAAGAACTAGTTAGGAACAAACCTAAGCTAGGGCCGAGCATTCATAATTAATAATAAGTCTCCATGTCATTATTTGGGAGCTGACTGGCAGAACAGAAAAAGACTCATTACAGATAATATATAGTTCACCTGCAAAGTGAGACCACCATTGAAAGTGGGCTTCCAGTGGTGTAGAGTAACTAATTAAAGTGTGTGGTCCATTGCCATGAAATTTTAGTGTCTAGAGCTCCTTTGAGGATCTTGTTTCTTAAAATCCTTAGAACTGGGCTGGCCACTGCCAAATCCGCTAGCTTATATGACTACTGAGCACTTAAAATATGAAAAAAGATGCACCACACATGTAAAATGCACAGTGGATTTCAAAGGCAGTAAGATGAGAACAAGGATTTGTATTGATCCCATGTTGAAAGGGGGTATTTTAAATATATCGGTGGGATAAATGTCACCTTTTCCTGTTTACTTTTGAATGTGGCTGCTAGAAACTTTTAAATGGCAGGCTTGGATTGCGTGGTGAGGATGATGTGCTCTGAGAATTGTGTTAGGCAGTTTCATGGTTGTGTAACTCTCACAAAGTATGGCTCTATTTTCATCCAACATCACTGATCTCCAGTGGAGGAGAGTGGGTATTTAGAAACTGAAACAAAAACAAAAGGATACCAGAAAAGTAGAGTCTTGTGAGGAAATAAGCTGGGGTAGGCAATCACATTCTATGGTCAGAACTGCTTCTCCAGTCAGAAGGTAGCTCAGGAATTAATTAGGCCATGCACCACGCCTGTGCTGTGGGATGGAGATTTAGGAAGAATCACACAGCAACAGAAAGCAGCTCAAATAAAAATTCCCCAGAATATCCCTCACAGTGAAGTCACTCCAAGTCTCTGGGACCATAACGAAAATTAAAAAGCATAGACTGGCAACTCTTGAGTCATAAAACAAAGAAGGTAAGTGGGTGAACAACAGCCCTGTGTTGCCAAAGGCACTTCCTTTGGCCGTGCAGTGATCCAATTTCATAAGCGTTTCATGGAACTTGCAGAGAGCTCCTAATGTTGCTAGCAGAGCTGAATAGAAAGTAACGGAGCCAACCCAATACTGCTAGCTCAGACGTAGAAGGACACAGACGGCTTCTTTTTTTTTTAACACACATCTATAATGCTTCACTTTTGTGAGTGTAGAAATATTTGAAAGGGTTTTCATGAAACATTTGGGACTATAGTTGTTCCAAAACTATTACTGCTTAGGATTTTCAGACCTTTATCCATGAACTTTCCTACAAGAAGGCATACCAGGAACTTAGCTCTTCAGATTCAGAGGGTACTAGTTTTTCACTGCTAATGGTAGTGAACATATTACTAAGATTCTTCTATATAAAGCAATGAGTTAGTTACTGTACTTTTAATTAATTAGATGATATATACATGCTGCTCTTTACGTAGAAGGAAGATAAGAGTTTTTGTCCCCCATTGTCTTAATTCTTATAAATACATGGGTGAATCCTGAAAGAGTGAATAACCATCTACTTCGGAATTCCCAGTTCATATAACACATACACAAACACACACACACACACACACACACACACACACACACACACACACCTGTTTTTTCTAAACATGAAAAGTCTCTACTATGTCCTCCTTAAGTTAATGACCATAAAGTTGATCAGAAAAGCTGGGCATGATGATGAGTTCCTGTAATCCCAGCACTTGGGAACCTGAGGCAGGAGGATTGAGAGTTCTAAGCTAGGCCTAGCTCTGATCACACACCTTGTTCACTAGTCTTGCCTGATGAGTGTAGCTCTCAGCCCTCATCGAAGAATTTTTTTATTTTTTATTTTTTTATTTTTTGCAGCAGATGGAGACTGTTACAGAAATCCATAACTGGTCAAAACGCAGAAAACAGCTGCCTGTAGGAAACGTGAGTCCCAACCCGACTCACGAATCTTCAATGCAGCACCTATCTGGACGCTCAGGAACGTCTTAGAAGAGAGAGCAGAAAGACTGCAAGAAGCAGAGGTCTCCTGTGGGATTGTGTCTTCTTCTGTACATGACCGGGAGCTGCACCCCTGAAATCTCAACCATGTCCCCCCAAACATAACCTACATGATGACACCGGTTGGCAGGCCAGTGTGGATGGAGGAAGTCTCATGAGGCTCCACTCCCAGATGAAGAACTCCAGGCAATCAGCGGCTACTGGCGGAATCAGTCCTCTCCAGGAACCGGCCCTTGATAGATTAGCCAATCCCAAATGGTCAACCATAAACATGTATGAGTGACACTAAATGGACGTGTGTGTGTGTGTGTGTGTGTGTGTGTGTGTGTGTGTGTGTGTGTGCGCGTGTGTGTGTGTGTGTGTGTGTGTGTGTGCGCGTGCGTGTGTGTGTGTGTGTGTGTGTGTGTGTGTGTGTGTGTGTGTGTAAAACATAATAATCAAAGTAGAAGAGATCATGAATTTGAAAGGGAGTGGGAGGGACAGAGGAGGAGTCAACAGAGGAAAAGAGTGTGGAGTGGAAATTATACATAAAAAAAACTATTCATGTATAAAATTCTCAACAACAGATTTGAAGCCAGACGAAAGGAAAAAGTGAGCTATAGGTCAGCTTAGGCAGCAGAATGAACTACTATCTTAAATAAATAAATAAATAAATAAATAAATAAATAAATAAATAAATAAAATTCTCTCCGCCTCACTCCCTTCCCCGAATCAGTGAAGGCTGGCAGCCACTGCAGGCACTGGAGAGTGTTTTACAGATAAAACACACCAATTAATACGAAAGGGTTAAGATTTATGAATCAAGACTAGGGCTAATTGTATGGTTTGTTTGCTTAAGGTCTTTCCTTTACAACAGGGGAGGGACTGTCCCAGAGAATCCTAGTGCGTTTGAAATGTAACTCAACTCGCAGAAACAAGCTTCTGTTGCCACCACAGCAGGGGAATTAAAGGCCAGAAGACCTGAGCTTCACTCTTGACTATTGTCCCTCCAGTCTCAATGCTTTTGCATTCGAAGAAGGAATGATATCTATTCCAGACACTTCTTCAGGCAATTCAGAGTATTTGCAAACATGCTTCAGAGCCCAAAGTCTATGGCAGAGAATCTTCAGCCTTCTTTCCCAACTCCAGCACACATGGACTCAGGAGCAATGGAGGGAGGCCCCCTGCATCAGGACATCAGAAATCTCCCCCAGGTGGTTCTAGTTTGTGTTTAGGTCAGGAACTATTTCCCTAGTGGTTACCAGTGTTAGGGAACCTTAGCATCCCTTGGGGTCGAGGGACCTTCAAAAATTATTGCTACACAGCCTCTCATCCCAAGACCTGTGATCCCATCCTGGGATTCTTATGTAAGTGGGATACAGTGTCCTCTGGAGATGGTTTTTCTAAGCTGTCCAGGTCTTTGGATGTCCAGCCAAACCTTGAAACTGGTTAGAACAGGCTTGTCTAAGCACTGCATTACAAAGAAGCGTTTCATGACTCCAGCAGTCCCTCTTCATTCGTAGTTTCACTTTCTGTGGCCTCCGTTACTCATAATCTACAAAGATGCAATACATTACATGGACAGTTCTGTAAATAAACAGTAGCATTGACTTCCACGCCGTTCTCAGCTCAGCAGCCTGTGCAATCCTTCATCACGCTGCTTCATCTCACCTGAAACGTGAACCACCCTTTGTCCAGTGTCTGTCTACCCACATATGTGCTACCCCCCGTACTAGTCACTCAGAAGCCAACTCAGCTATTAGATCAGCTACCACTGAATCACAATACTTGTTTTCAAGTAACCCAGATTTTCATAAACTTCATTCTCAAAGCACAGACTGTGTTTACTATACTACGTTGTTTCACTGCTACTGTTTTTTTTCTAACTTCTTACAGTACTTAATTCATAAATTAAACTTCACAATAGATACATGTGTGTGAATGCATGGGAAAAAAACACATCATACAGTGGGCTCGGTACTATTCAAGAGTTCATGCATCCGTGGTGGCTTTGGGGCATATTACCCAAGGACAAGGGGGACTCATCAAGGATTCCTTTGTCCACTGGCACTGAGTGATACAATCTGAGAAAGAGAACTTTACAGTCTTTAGTTTTAAAGACAGAAAACAGAAAAAAAGTTATTGAACAAATGTATAGCCACAAAGCTCTGTTAAATAATATGACAATAGTATTTCCCAAGCTCCAGCCCTCCTCTACCCCACCCAAATACCACATTCTTTCTTGCTTCCACATTTTCCCCCACAGAATCAAATCTAGAGATTCCCTGGTTTGGGGGATTGGAACCTTGTTCCATGGCCTTTACTATGGAATAATAGAGTGAGACTTTGCTGAGATCTGTTTAGACTACGCGGCATCTACTATGGGGTAAGTGTTGTTTTCTTTGTTTGAAACCATTTAAGATGGAGGAAGAAGCATCATCTTCTATATCTGCATCATTTCTTTTGGTGCTGTCACGGCTCTCCAGGTTCATTATTCCCCGAAGTCTCATTCTATCAAAAACTATTCATTGTTAGTTAATCAGAAAAATGCATTCCTGGGGCCAGCAAGACGGCTCAGTGCATGAAGGCACTTGCTGCTAAGGCTATTGACATGGGTTCAATATCTGGAATCCACATGCTCGAAGGAGAGAACTGACTCCTGCAAATTGTCTTCTGACCTTCACACATGAGCCACATGGCATGTGCCCATCCACTCCACCACCACACACACAGTAAATTTTTAAATGTAGGGAAAATACACTCTTTGTATAGAAGTATTGGGAAATATGTTATTTTCTAAAATAAAATATGTTACTTATTCAAGTTATCATGCCTAGCATATTCCAATTGCCAACATTTATGGAGTTAATCAAAGATGAGCCATAACAAAACCCACTTATTTCTGACAGAAGCACCATCTAATAGGATAAAAATAACATGTAAGGGGCTAGGATAGAGCTCAGTAGTAGAGCACTTAACTAACATGTGTGAAGAAGGCCTGAGCTGACTTCTTAGTCATGTTAGAAAATAATCACGTTTGATGCTATAGAATCAGCAGTAACTCAGGGTAAGCTTGCCATAAAGATTAGTCACCATTATGCAACATGTAAAGAAGTAGAAACATGAAAAAAAGTGATAAATGTGTTTGGACTGTGCATTTGTGACTGGATTTTTTTTTTAAATCTCAAAGAGCTGTGTTAATTTTTTGAAGTTCTTAAAATTAAAATTCAGAATGGGCATAGCTCCTGGCTAGGTGGGTTCCAGATTCAGTGTTGGGAACATTCACCTGTGTCTGGCACACGTGTGTCTCTGAACACTCTGAAACTGAGGGTTCCATGTTCCTGTGAGTTTCCATCCTGCTCTTCCTGTGTCTTATGCACAGCCAATCTGAAGTGGGGACTTTGTGTAAGTGACAGAGTGTGAGGTTCTGGCTCTTCCTCTCCTTTGTGGAGCAGGACTTAAAGGGACATGCACTTGACTTCCTCTGCACCTCTTGTCTCCATCTGCCCCAGGCTCGATTGTACCCTCTCTCCAGAGCCTGCAACCCAGCTTCCGAGGTGAAATGTTGAAATACCACACCTTGCGGTTCCTCTCCCATGTGTTGCCTTAGGGACAAGTGCAGGAAACCACACTTCTCATAATGGTCAAGGTGTGCACAGGAAACAACATTCTCACTCCCAGCTCCGACAAAACCCAGACATCCTGTCTCTAAGATGATCATCGATGCCTCTTGTGCCTGTTTATGAACATGAGAGGAAGAGAAAGATTGTACGTGTTCTGTCTTCCCATGGACCAGGAAGAAGAGCTTCAATGGTGGGACAGCCCAGTCACGAAGCACCAACTCTCTAGACATCTCACCAGATCCCACCCCACAGTCCTATACGTTATTGTCTTCTCTCATCTTTTTCAGCTTAAAAATCTATTTTTTTAAAAAAAAAAAAAAAACATTTTTATAGTCACCAGTAAGTTGGTGTTTACATACGGGTGCTTTTGTGTACACACAAAGGCTCACCCTTGTTCATGTGTTTGGGACTGACGTAGAGGTGAGGGAGAAGCAAACCTCTATTCCCATGCCAGTATCTGAGCCCCACACCAGATCAATTAAGTCAGAATCACTGGGAGTGGGGCCAAAGCATCTGCTTTGTTTTAAAACCTCCTAAGAAACAGGAGTAAGCTTTTAAGCCATCCACAAATGGATGGACCTTAACTGCATATTTCTGAGTGAGAGGAGCCAGTCCAAAAAAGCTCCACATGATCCGATCCCACTCATTCGACACTTTGGAAAAGGCACCACCACAGAGATGCTGAGCAGATCAGTGCTTGCCAGGGGCTTAGAGACTGAGAGGGTTGGCAGGGTGGAGCCTGGGGAGACTTGTATAGTAGTGGAATTGTTGTTTGATACGATACTGATGGATACATGATGCTGCATTTTCAAAAATCCACAAAACCACATAGCAGAAGAGATGTATCCTCATGCATGCAAAATTCTAAAAATTATTTATGAAGTCAGAGAATCCCAGGATAAAAAAAATAGTCTGACAGAAGGAATCTAACTGTTTTGCAAATGTGTGAAATCACCATACTGAAGATGGAGTGTGTGTGTGTGCGTGTGTGTGTGTGTGTGTGTGTGTGTGTGTGTGTGTGTGTGTGTGTGTGTTGGGTGGGATGATGGTCTTATGCTGACTTTAAACTGAGTGGAGAATATAGGTCTAAAAGCAAAGAGAGTTTATATAGCACTATATTCTCACTAATGTATGCTCATCACCCCCAGGGCTATGGATCAATGAATCTGATCTTTTTATGTGCACATTCTAGAATGGATCCATTAAATAAATGGACAGCTGATATTGGAATCTGAATTTCTCCTTGCCAGAATGAGAGATTACAGACAAGCCAGGAGAAATGACCCGAATCCTCCATATTAGTAAAGGGCTAGAATAGGAGCTATCAGTACAAATTCCTGTATTGTCTAGTAAAGATGCAGAAAAATACATACAGGAATATTTATAGGCATGCATATACACACACAAGTTAGTATGTGCTGATACTAACTAGCTCTCTTAGCTAATAGATCCTGGAAGCAATGGCACTCCAGTGCCCAGATCCTGGTTTCTCATATCATCCTACAATAAAAGGGCTGGGGTCTCCTTAGAGAAGTAGCTGATTGTAGATCTGGGTGATAAATAGTCGGTATGAGCCTGGAGCCTCCTATAGCACCCAAAGGTAAGAAGACACTGAAAACAAACAAAACGCACAGTGACAGGGAGGTGAAAGGGAGGAGAGCCTCCGATGTACCCAGCGGGTCACAGACACAGCGTTAGGTCATGACCTGGAGTGTAAAATAAACAGCCCAGGGTTCGCACTGATATAAAACCATGAATAAAATCAACAAATCCGTGAGAGTAGGCAGATTCTTGCCGAATGCTGCCTCACTGGTAATAGACACACACACACACACACACACACACACACACACACACACACACACACACTCACAAAGGTTGCAATATCTGAATTTGCTGCGGGCTGTGAAGCCCAGTCGCTTGTTGAAACACTAGTCTAAATGTAGCTATGAAGGTCTTTTTTTTTTTTTTTTTTAAGCTTGAAGACAATTTTATTAGAGTCTAAAAGAAAACCCCCAAGGCAGGCAAGCTGTAAATCTTGGCAGCTGTCCAGAGAAGAACGGGGGAAAAAGAATCGGGGAGGGGCGGGGGGGAGAAGGAAAAAAAAGAGCTGTGCCATTTTGAGTAAGTGAGCATGAAGGTCATCCAGGTGATGAACAAGCCACAATATGGTGGTGGGAGGCTTTCGAGAAAGAGTGGAGAAGGCCAGAGCGACAGGAGGAACACGCTTAGAACACAGACGGGGAGAAGGAAAGGGAAAGTGGGCTGACATGAAGTCCTTTTACGGAGGGGTGGAGGGAATAAGTGAAAAGCGCCTCCACAGTGAGGTTTGACCTTCAAGCATCCAGAGAAGGAAGCCTGCCCCGGGGGCCGGGGGGCCGGAGTGGGGGTGTCCACACTCGTCCCCAGTCTTAGCCAGGCTGCCCTGCAGGTTTCTGACTTGACTCCACACACTTGTCCGCCGGATCCTGCAAATAGGTCTCCTAACAACAACAACAGACAAAGCCGTGTGTGGCGCTCTCTGTCCTATCTCTGAATGTTTTCTTTTAACCTAAAACTACCATAAGATAAATGCTACGTTCAGAAGGAACTTTTTCGCTTTGTGAGGGTTCTGGTGCGTTACCACTGTTGATCAAAAAAAGCTCATCGGCGGCTCTGGAAAATGAAGGTTTCCCCAGTTCAAATTCTCAATGTGTTTCTCTCAGGGGCTGATGGGGCTGGGTGCGCAGATAGTAACGTGGAAGTCTTGAAAAGGAAATAAATGCTTGAATTTGATCTAAGTCTCTGACTGGGAATCTCCAGGAGAAAATAGATCAGGGAGGGGAGGGACTGTGTCATAAGCTCAACAGCGGCCCCTGTGCCAGAATCGCCACCATGGACGGCAACCGCCACTCGGGGAGAGTAAATGCAGAGGTTTGATGGATGGCTATTATCGCAATGCACTCCGGGTATGTTGATACTAATGGGCCCCACTGGGGATGCTCAGCACTTCTGAGTGTTGTCCCTACAGGAAAAGGCATCTCAGATACTAGTTCAATTCAGAAGCAGTGAAGACCCCAGGTCCCAAGGACTGTCTAGTACAGTATGTGCAGTGGCTCTCCTGTGTGCACCCGATGGCAGGAACTCTCCTCTTCAACACCATTCCGTTTCCCTTCCCTGGTAGTTCTTCTGTGTCAGCAGGATGCCCACCAGGAGTCTGTCAGGCAGTATCTGTGCGACCTGTGGACAGAAGATCTTTGTGGCACTTGACAAGAAGGGCTCACCGAAAACACCTACCAGTTGTCAGGTCCTCTCCACAGAACCCTTGATGGGCTTTCCTGAAGTTTCCCATCTCCTCTGCCTTGCTTGACTCCCACACTTAACCCCCAACCTTTGTCTCCTGGTCCTGTTTGTACTTGAGACTTTCTGATGAATAATGAGCGGCAGATTAAGACATGCCTCCTCCTTTATTGTCATTTCCTTTAAAAAGAAGGCTTTCCATCCCACATGGGCAGGAAGGCTGATGCACTTGAGCAGGGTGCAGCCTGGAGAAGCTGCTAGAGGCCATAAGTGAGCAAATGGACAAAAAGGAGCAGAGAGAAAGGGGGGTTGAGAGTGAGAAAAAGAACCATGTATAGTGTAGGGGTGTCATTCAGTGCCGGAGTATGTGTTTAGTGTGCAGAAGGTCTTGGATTCATCCCAGCATCACAAAACCCTGTGGAGTATATCAAGTCCAGGACTGAGGAGAATGCAAGATGTTCATAGAGAGCAGTACTTCCCAACCTTCCTAATGCTGCAACCCTTTAATACAGTTCCTCATGTTGTGGTGACCCCCAACCATAGACTTATTTTTGTTGCCACTTCATAACTGTAATTTTTATACTGTTGTGAATATCATAATGTAAATATCTGTGTTTTCTGATGGTCTTTGAAGACCCCTGTAAAAGGATTGTTCAACACCTAAAACACTTGTGACCCACAGGTTGAGAGCCACTGATATAGAGCCTGGTGTCTAAATCTTGGTAGAACAACACATGCAAAGTCCACTTTGACTGGAAATCGTCTTAGGAACCCACTTGTAGCAACAGAGTGGGGGAGAAAAAAACCAGACCTCTTGTAAAGTTTCTAGGATGGGGTCTTTAAAAAGGGTGACACCATAAGGCAGCCCAACACTTTAGGACACAAAAGCAGGGGCTGGCTTTTGGCATTTTGTTTCTGGACCACCTAGCCCTACTACCTATGATGTCCTGATCCAACAGCTCTCTGCTGGCTGAAGGACCAGGAGTGGTAGGAGCCTGTATTGGTCACCTTCACATAGCTACGACCAAACCGCTTCGTGAGAGACTGGTTCTGGCTCACAGTTTCAGGGGGTTTCAGCTCACTGTGGTGGGGCAGGCATGGTCGTAGAGCATGTGGTGGTGCATGTTGTTCATATCATGGCTGACTGTAATACAGAGGGCAAGGCTGGAACCAAGGCTCAATACAACCTTCAGTGGTCCACCCCCAGTGACATTCTTCTGCCACAGAGGCCTCACTCACCCCTTCAGGATCCTACAGCCTTCTGACTTGGTGCCACCACCTTGGGAACAAGTGTCCAAACACATGAATCCATGAGGGATGTTTCACATTCAAACCACAGTAGATAAGCCTGGACCTATAAACCAGGTTTCTGTGAGAATAGCCCCAGTTAGAAAATGCTGGCTTAGGACCCTTGAACAAACCAACCCATGATGGCCAAGACTGAGACTGTAGATACCAAAGTTGTGTTTGGTTGGCCAGCGGTCCGTATTTTCATTTGTTCCTAAGCATACAGCAAAGCATCGTTCATCTTTTCATTACGGCACTGATTTCATAGCATGGTCTCCACACACCTGATCAGACCAAAGCTCTGGCGTGGTGAGGGGCTTGAACCAGGTATCCTTTGCCACTGCAACCCACTTAATCCGGCCAATCATACCTAATGCCTTTGATGTGCATGGCCAGTGATGTGCATGGTCCTTTTTAATCTGAACACTTACCACTGGTTCAGCTATAAGAGTCAGAAAGTGGTCCAAATGCATCTCAAATGTAATAGGAGCCTTTCCTCAACATTTAAGCCTTAAAAACTTAGGGGAAGAAACACAAAGATATCCCATATGGAATTCTACAGTGTTTTTTTTTTCCTTAGTGTGATACACACACCCCCAAGAAACTATCATTCTTCATAGAAATTTTCCAAGTCTGGCTCTAGTTTTAAGTATGATTTACTTTTCAAATGTTGGAACAGAGCCTCCTCTGCCATTTTCAAGTGAAAATATTTTCTCTCTCCATCTTTAAAAGCCCTTAGGGATTGCTGTACATGTGTGCATATGTAATCTAAAATGTAGTCACCTTTAAATATGCTTTGCGGGGAGTATTATTAATGGCCCATTTTAGCATGAGTCATATTAGCAAGGAGTGAGCAAATATGAGTCATATTAGCCAAGAGAGACTATCTGAGTTTCTCTCTGTAGCAGCTCTGCAAGTTTGCAAGCTTCCAGCATTGAAACTTCGAAGATGAAAGAGCGCAGTATAGAGGATGGGGCCGTTTGGCACTGGCTCCCTGACCTCGGAACTCTGTACCTGTCTGGAAGGTGTGGCTCTATGCCAGCCTTTTTAAATAAAAGACTGGCTGTATGGGTTTGAGCTCATGATCCTTCTTATAATATACCACTTTATGTTAATCCAAGCACATTGCAAAAATGTCCCAGATTCCAAGAACATAAAATAGTGGAAACTTTTAGTTGCATAGAGAGCTAGTCTGGAGGCATTAGATCGATGGCCTCACCAGGGTGCCCCCTCCACAGCTCTCTGTTTCTTAGGGAGGGAAGTTCTATGTCATTGCTGTCGACACGGATGGGTAGCAACCTGGCTGGAAAACCATATGCTCTTGGCCCCCAAACCACGTTGAGATCAAGGACTGTATACCAATCAGCAGTTACAGTTAATCATTTTCCCCAATCTGAAATACTGGAGAGCATGGAAATACTAATTTCCAAAAATAATTAGTTTTGAAAGATCCATTCAAATATTCATTTGATAAAAATTTCCTAGACTCCTGCTTAAGGTGGTGAGGGAAAAAGATGAGCAGCTCGAAATCATGCAGTAACCTGTAACCTAAGAGGCCATGAGTTTTCACAGCATGTTCTGGTGTCTTAGAATCCATCCCTGGTCCTGTCAGAAAGCAGGATTTGTGCCCGATGGAGGACAGTGGGCAGACTTTCTAGAGATGATGTGTATAAATGAATTTGTGCATGCTTGAAGATGAGGTGTCTATTATATTAAAATAATTGGCCCTTTATCTATAATTTTTAAAAGTTGAGGAAAACATTTAAGAAGTTATTAGAAATATTTGCAATTTAGTGGTAATGGTTAGCATGTATGAGGCCCTGGGTTCAATCAGGAGGGGGTTTGCGGGGAGGAGGAAGCTCTATAAGCTTAAGAACAGACGTAACCCTGGTGCCTGCCAGTAAAAGATGACAAGTAATGTGCAGAATCTAGGATCAGGAATGCCAGAGCGTGTGCACAGGGAGTGCACAAATGCAGGGGTCAGGGAAATGCAAAGATGCCTTTGCACAAGAAATTACTGTACAAAGGAGTCCTCACGGTCTTCATCTAATTCTTATTATAATCAAGTAAGGTGAGAACAAGCACGGCCAAATTGTTAAGCAAATTCAACAGGTCCATGAAGCTGGTGCAGCCCCAGCTCCACCCACCCCAGTGTGCCACCCCCATTCCATCCTAACTGTCCCTGTCTCTCCCTAAAGTGAGGATATGCACACTCGGAGTGAGTCACGGTGGCCGACAGACCACCACTCTCAGCCTCCTATTCCTAGGCAGAAAGATCATTTCCAGGCCTCCATTATTGGGGTATTGCTCTCTACTGACCTTCCCTAACAAGGTGTTTAGCTTTCATGAATTCTGCATCCAAGGCTGGTGTATTGTCGGGAAGAAACAGATCCTGACTGCAAAGAGAAGGTTGATCTGAAGAGGATGATCAGCAACCCGTATCCTTCTAGACATGAACAAAATGTTAGCTGAAGTACATCTAGGGATGCACTGTGCCCTCTGAACCGCCATCGTCTCTGTTAAGCTGTGGCAGAAAATGTTCATTGTCTCTAGCAACCTAGTTCAACGTGACTTTATGGATTTCCCATGCCTGTGTTCCTATTCTGGCTAGAAAATTAAATATCCAAGACTATTCCACCTTTTACGGCTCATACTCTCCGTGTTAAGAGACTTAGTGGAAATGTGTTGGGCTAGTTCAAAAAACGGGCACAATATGAGGAAGAATAATGGACATGGTGAGTGGATGGGTGGATAGTAGCTGAGTTCCATGGGTTTGTGGGTAAATCACAGATAAATTAAAACTGAAACTTCAAAAGCTCAAACTGTGAACTAGTGTGTAGAGTTGTTTGGGGGCAAAACGAACTTTTATTTTTACCAAATAGGACTAGATTCTTCTTGTCTTGCATCTTAGCTTTTTTTTAATTTTCTTATTATGCCTAGTCTCTTTTTAGACTAAATTCCGGCAATAATGATATTGAAATGAAACAACGACCCACAGACCCAGGGAGCTCATGACAGCAACTAGGACTTTCAAAAAAAAAGTATGTGTTTCAGTATTTTGCCTGCATGTATGTCTGTGCACCAATTATATGCCTGGTGCTTTCAGAGGCCATTGGATTCCTTGGAAGTGGAGTGACAAGTAGTTGTAATAGCCAAGCGGGTGTTAGGACTTGAACTGGGATCCTCAGGAAGAGCAACCAGTGTCCTTAACCACTGAGCCATCTCTCCAGCCCCAGCAACTAAGACTTTTATAGACCCCAAGATGCCCAACAGAATAAGCACGAGTCCCATTAGGACCACAAGAGGGTAACAGCCCTCAACCAGAACTAACTAGAAAGACTGAGTCCTCCATATCTCTGTCCCAAGACCACAATGTTTCTTCTAAGGATTAAAGGGATTTGAGCACATTGCCTCTTATGCAGAAGGGCACTGAAAAGGTGGCGTCGGCCTGCTAGACATCTTCTTGTAGGAGGCTGCCCTTCGGGACCAACTGACAGTCAGTGACTTCACGGTGCTGAGGAAGCAGCTTCCTCCCTCTCTACTCCTCTGTTCCTCACCAATCCAAAAGCATGTGGCTTTGTGGTGGCTCTTGACAATGTCTCATCTCTGACTCCTCCAGACAGGGACTCTTTCAACCAGGACATCAGAAGAGGCTTTGGGTCTCTTTGGGTCTCAGGGCCAGGCTGTGGGTGAGACCACCTGCTCTGCCCAGAGGCTTGGCCCAGCTCAAGTCTGGAAATGCGCTGTGTGCATGGTGTCCCCTCTCCTTCCTTATCTGAAGTCCCTGAAGTTCCGGAAGTCCCTTCTAAGGTGAGACGATTGGGTTCGACAACTTTCATTTAATAACTTACAAAACAATGGTAAGCCCATCTGTTAGAAAACCAGTTATCAAGTTAAATAATAACAAATAACAAAGAGCGATCTGTTTCCTTATATTGTCTAGAAAGAACAAACCACTGGCTGCAACATACACTCTCACTGAGATTTATACAAGGAGGGGCTGGAGAGATGGCTCAGCAGTTAGGAGATTTATACAAGGAAAAGCTTGTGTGAGAAAGCTGGCCTTGGTAATATTGCAATCAGTGATACTGGGCATCAGTTAAGCTCCCTGGACACAATTTATTAGTGAAACGAGAAAAACAGCAAAAGATGTGTCCTATGGAATAAACTGATGCCACCCTTCTTAGTGTGTCCACTGCAGGGGAGTCCAGAGCTCAGGTTCTGCTCACATAAAGCACTTCCCGTGTCCCTTGGTTTTCCATAGATGGATTCCTCTTTTCCTTTGTTCGGCACTGTCCCTTGCCTTTATCACTATTTGAATTTACCATGAGGGATCCTAATTTGTTTTCAGAAAGTGAGTGTGGTGTAAATAGCAATACCCATAATGGTACAGATTTCTGGAGATGTTTTATTTATGTATTTACTTTTTTTTTTTCAAGAGGCAGGCTCTCAATATGTTGCCCAGACTAGCTCCAATCTCTCAGGCTCAAATGTTCCTTCTGCCTCAGTCTCTCTAGCAGCTGGGACCACACACATCATGGAACTCACCGTGCAAAACTCTTTTAGGAAAGCACATAGAATTTGCAAGAGGAATTGCCCCTTTGAGACACTGTTATATGTAGCTTGAGCTTTCCTGCCTGGCCCACAGTCAGGACAAATCTCTCTCACCCGCCAGTCCCAAGCCGCTCAAACCCGATCAAGTAAACACAGACACTTATATTGGTTTCAAACTGTATGGCCGTGGCAAGCTTCTTGCTAACTGTTCTTACAACTTAAATTAATCCATTTCTATTAATCTATACTTTGCCACGTGGCTTGTGGCTTACCGGTACTTTACATCTTCCTTGTCCTGATGGCGGCTGGCAGTGTCTCCTCACTCCGCCTTCCACTTCCCAGCTCTATTCTCCTCCTTGTCCCGCCTATACTTCCTGCCTGGCCACGGGCCAATCAGTTATTTATTCATTGACCAATCAGCAACACATTTGACATACAGACCATCCCACAGCAGTTATATTTACAAGTGATGTTGATGGGTATCACTTCTGCCTGGCTCTGTAGAGAACGAGCCCTTAACTAAGCCTCAGCTGGGAGTGCACACACATGCTGTATGCAAAGGTCTTGGATTGACTTCGTTCCTTGGTGGCCTGGCAGCCTAATTGAAATAGTTCAAGGCATTAACTCTTTCTTGAAGCTGGAATAGCATCACAGACTTCCACAATGCATTGCATGGTGGGAATATTTTTAAATCCTTGGTCCTGCATTTAATATTGGTAGGCTGTGTGGAATTTGGAGATGATCCAAAGAGGTCAGGAAACAAAGTTTGATGTCACACTTAACACAGCTTATCTCTATGGAAAGAATTAAAAGCTAAACAATGGGATAGACAAAGTGTGCGTTTTCCTCTTTCCTGGAACACTTACTATTTCGCCCATGCTTGGAACACACTTGTTAGATCTCTTCCTGCCATGGGCATTGCGCCCCTGTTTGGCTGATTAATGATTAGATCTTCAAAGTGTTTGAGAGGCTTGTGACATATGTCACATACACAACGGTGACTGTCAATCCAAGATCATCTAAATGTCAGTAAAGGTGCTAAGTAATCAACAACTTAGGGACCACATCTTCTCTGCTCTTTGTATTTGCCAGCACATGCAGTTCTGATAATGTGGTCCCTCTGTACACACTTAGCTACCACTCTCAAAGGTCTATGAGCAGGGCCATGGCTTTTTTGGGGACCCTGGGTATTGCCAAATTCAACCTGCCCGAGAGCTGAACTAAAGGATAAAGAATCACTTCTAGGTTCACACACACCAGCACACATGTACACACACAGATAGGCAGCACAGTTCTGTTTTGGTACCTGATGGTACCTTCTCCAGAGAACTCATCAGTATCTAAAATCAAAGTCAGCCGGGCAGTGGTGGCACACGCCTTTAATCCCAGCACTCGGGAGGCAGAGCCAGGTGGATCTCTGTGAGTTTGAGGCCAGCCTGGTCTACAAAGTGAGTTCCAGGAAAGGCACAAAACTACACAGAGAAAACCTGTCTCAAAAAACCAAAAAAATAAAAATAAAAATAAAATAAAATAAAATCAAAGTCATAGCCTTGTGTTTGTCTCCCACTCCATGAAGCCAAGTTTCATCTGTTTCATCCCCTACTACCTCCACAGCACCTCAAGCAGTGCCCAGCATGTAGAACCCTTCAGAAATAGTTGTTGAGAGAGTAAGTCAATGTGGCAAAGGAAACTAGGTTAACAGAATACATAAGACCAGTTGGAAAGAATTGACCCAAGATATGCTGCATTCCTGTGGTAGTCTGAATGAGGATGCTCTCTCTGGGCTCAGGGTTTAAATGCTTCGTCCCCAGTTGATGGCACTGGTTGGGAGACTTTGGAAATGGGGCCTTCTTGGAGGAAGTCTGTCACTGGAAACAGCTTTAAGAGTTTCAACACTGGCACCATTTCGTGTTTGCCCCCTCTGCTTCATGCCTGTGCTTTAAGATATGAGCCCTCAGCTTGCTGCTCTAGTACCCATTCCTACCTGCTGCCATTCTGCCCCATCTTAACGATGATGGACTCTTAACCTCTGGAACCACAAGCCCAAATAAACCCTTACTTCTATAAATTGCCTTAGTTGGGGTGTTTTATCACAGCAATGGAAAAGGAACCAGTACTTCTACAGTTAATGGATCTGACATCAGTGATTACATGTTAAACAGCAAACACTTTCTGCGAAATGGTAGACACCCATTCTGCAGTTCCTGAGGCTGTGGCACTTTCATGAAGTAGAGGGAACTACATCCATTCATTGCTTTTCTTGCCTTTTATATACTGGCAGTGTGACATTCAATGTTTCATCATCAGAGTAACTCACTTTGTTTCCTGTTCAAACTACACAACACCTCATACTACAAATGGTTCACTGTTCGAACTATTAGATTTAATTCTGGTGTTTCTTTACTTGGAAAAATATCATAATAATTAGACACTAGGTTTGTGCATTGTCTACTAGGCATATGCAAGGACTGAGAAAAGAAAACGTTCTTCGTATTGTTTTGATCACATCTTCTCCCCACTCTCTCCCCTCCCTCTTCTCCCGCCGTTTCTCCACGACTTTCCCCTTTCAACTTCATGTACTCCTCTTTTTTCTTTTGAACCCACCCAGTCCACTCAGTGCTTGACCTTATGTGCATGGGTGTGGGGCCATCTCCTAGAACATGGGCAACCTATCAGGGACTGAATCCAAAGTAAATGGATCTAAGGGTGGGACTCTGTGGTCCATTCGCATTCCATGCTGGGATTTCAGCTGGCTTGATTGTGTACAGGTCTTGTGTTTGCACTCCTAGCCACTGTGAGCTCTTGTGTGCAACATCCCGGTGTGACTGGAAAAAAACTCTTTCACAACAGTCCTCTTGTCACCTCTGTGATGATATCTGCTCCTCTTCCATGATGATCCCTGAGCCTTGGGCAGAAAGGGTGTAGTACAGATGGTCCAGTTGACAGATGAGCACTCCGCAGTACTTTGACCAGTTCTGAATCTTTGTATCAATCACCATCTACCGCAAAAGGAAGGTTCTCTGACAAAGACTGAGAGCTGCACTAGTCTATGGGCATAAAGTTAGGTATTTAGAGTGCAGTTCAATACCACGTCCGGTCAGTTCAACAATAGTAGTTAGTTCTCCCCTACAACCTAGAACCTATCGAGCCACAGGTTCTTGGCCCCGCTAACAGTGCCAGGCATGGGCACTCTTGGGGAACAGGCCTTAAATACCCTCAGACAGCAGCTTAAAAACACTCAGGCCATTCTTTCACCAATCAGCGCATGCTGTCAGGCTGGTTGTTACTGAGCTGGTAAGGTTCCCAGCCATGTAAGACTGCTGATAACTTTTCTCACCCAATAAAATGGACCGCCCCTTCTGGTACTGTGAAAGCTAGCCAGTGAAAAGGAGCCGTCAAGGTCAGTACTAACCTAAATTCTCCGTGTCCTGTGATTCAGGTATACGGTGTCTTCAGTGACAGGAGTCTACTCTATAAAGTTCTGGAGGGCACCCCAAGACAAAGGCAATTGCCTATGTTGTAAAACAAGATTCCTAGGCTTGTATCACAGTTACAAAGGCTTTCACATTTGGAGAAGTGCTAAAAATTAGTTTTATTCCTGAAAAAAATAGAGAGAGCCCTTACACTGATCTCTGGTGTGAATATGTCACTTAGCTTTTGTGGACAGTTACATGGAAAGCAGCTTCAGAAATGCTCTGGAACTCTGAGTGGGTAAAGCGATATTTATTTGAATGGAATCCAAAATTATCCTTACAGTTAAGAAATGCCATATAGTCAGAATATTAGCTTTCACTCACTGTGTTGAGAACTTGAGATAACCAACTTAAAAGGATGAAGAATTTTTTGGGCTCACAGTTTTTGCTGTTGTTGTTTTGGTTTTGCTTGTTTTGTTTTTTGTTTTTGTTTGTTTGGTTTGGTTTTTGAGACAGGGTTTCTTTGCGTAGCTTTTGGAGCCTGTCCTGGAACTCACTTTGGAGACCAGGCTGGCCTCGAACTCACAGAGATCTACCTGCCTCTGCCTCCCAAGTGCTGGGATTAAAGGCATGTGTGCTGGGATTAAAGGCATGCGCCACCACCATCATCCAGCCAGGCTCACAGTTTTAAAGGTTTTAGTTTGTGGTTAGTTGACACTGTTGTTTTGAAGTCTGTGGGAAAGTAGTAAACCATGGCAGGCAGTGCATAGGAAGAAAGTGGCTTTCTTCATGATGACCAATAAACAAAAAGCAAGAGAGGAAGAACAGGGATCTAGTTACCAATACCCTTCCAAGGGTACACCCAGTGTGAATTAGCTTCCTTCCGCTAGGTCCTACCCACGTCCTAAAGATCCCACATCTCACTTTGTCTGGAGAGACATTGCCCAAGGTCTCTCCAGAGACTCAAGGCAAACTCATAATTATGAGCTCCTGAAAAATCTAAACACAAGCTACATACTTCTAATGTAACGCCATTACACATTCCCATTCCCAAAGAGGAAGCATGGGGACACAGTAAGACAATACTGGATCAAATCCCAGCAGGGCCAGCACCAAACCATGCAGCTTCATGGTATCTGAGGCACACTGCTGTTTCTCAATAGACCTCCAGATGAGCTCTCAGTGCAAGTCCTTCATTTCTACATCAATGGATGCCTTCAATGGATGGCATCTTGCCCTCGATTACATTTCTTTTTTTTTTTTTTTTTTTTTTGGTTTTTCGAGACAGGGTTTCTCTGTGTAGCTTTTGCGCCTTTCCTGGAACTCACTTGGTAGCCCAGGCTGGCCTCGAACTCACAGCGATCCGCCTGGCTCTGCCTCCCGAGTGCTGGGATTAAAGGCGTGCGCCACCACCGCCCGGCGATTACATTTCTTATTTGACCAATTCAAGGTATATGGTTTCCTCTTTATTGTACTAATCTTGTTAGCAGCTGCCATTTTTTTCCTATAGCACTTGCTTTGTTCACAGTTTGAAACATGTTCACATTCTCTCCCTTGCCACATTACGAAGTTTTCAAATCTGCTCTACTTTTTTCCTTCTCTTCCTCCCTGTAAATGTGGCTAACACCAGCAAGCAAAAGCCATTTCCCAGCCTATAGGTTACACTGTCTTGGTATTTCCTCCACCAAATAAATTAACCCATTACTTCTGAATTCAGCTACTCAAACTTTCATAACAGGCAGACTCTAGACCAATTTTTTGCTGGATTGTAACATGAGTGGCACCTCACCCCATTCCTGGTGAATCCTTCTTCCCATGAAACCTCACGAGCTGCTCTTTACCGTCTGCATTTCTATTGCATTCTGGTCTTCCAAACTCCTAGTGGGGTGGCCAACAATCTCTGAGTGGAGCATTCAAGGACTCGTCACACCTGCAGTTCCCAATGCTTCAGCGTTTCTCCTATAAACCAGTTTCAATGGCCTAACCAGTGCATGGCAGAAATACCATTGCAAAGAACCCACTTCCTAGTACCTTTTCCTCTATCAGTTTCGTAGTTTCTCATATTGAGGTTCTTGGTCCATTTGGAGTTGATTTTTGTGCAGAGTGAATGATAAAGTGTAGTTATATTCTTCTATGTGTGGATTCCCAGTTTTCCTAGCATCTTCTGCTGAAGATCTAGTCTTTTCTTCAGTGTGTATTATATCTGGAACCTCTACTTTATTCCATTGCTTGG